GGTAGCGAGAAATTTTCCATGGTACATATTAGTCGAGCAATGCCAAATCTTTAATAATATTTGAAAATGTCGAAAGAATGTCGCTGTGTTATAAGTCGATGAATCCGATCACAAAAAAAGTTCTACATAATTAAATTATTGATTGTTTTAAAATTTAACAATATTTTTAAGGTGTATGATATGGAGATTTTAGTGATATTATAAAGTGTCATTTTATTTTATTTTCTACTTTTTTGGTGAATGTCCTTCAAATGGTGCCTTAAGCATAAATCCGTCAATCTTAGTAGACAGTCTTACGACCATCAGTAGACCTCACTGATATCATCAGAAAAAGAATAGATTTTTTTAATAAATAAGGAATCTTAGTAGATCTGAATGCATTCCAAGGATTTCTACCGAACAAGATCAATTGCAAAGATCCATACACAAGGTCTTTGGAATGTATTTTCTCGAAATACTACTCCTCATTCTCTGTTCTCAAGAAAACAAAACATAGTTTATAAGTTCTCCAGTAATTTTTATCACAATTTTACATTTTCCAGGATTCTCATCCAAATATATTTTCCTCAGTTATATATTTCAGGAAAATTTGTAAAAAAGTTCAAAATTATAACTAAAATTGCCTAAGTTGAAGAAAGGTAGCTGAACCAAGGTTGAAATGACAATTAGATCTTAGACCAAAAAAAAAAAAGGAAAACTTTGATTTTTAACGAGGTCCTGACAAACAACGCAGAGGATAAAATGGCAACAGAAAACAAGAACAGAACCCAACAAAAATTCTCCCTGCCATCACATTTATTGAACAATTCACTTCAAAATATCATAAAGGGAAAAAAAAAAAGTTAAAATAACAATAATAATAATAATAAAAATTAATAAAAACTTTGATTTAAAGCAGGTAGATCTCTAACCTTTTATTCAAGCTCTCAACTTCTTCATCAGTAACCTGACCTCCAAAAACAACTTTGCTGATCCCATCCGACGGCTGTGATTCAATATAATTTCCAAAACTCAAAACTTAAGGGAAAATAGGAGAATCGCGAATTGGACGGAAATAAACGATAATGTACGGCGTTACCTGGTGAGAGCGGGCGGAGGGGACGGTAGCGGGGGAAGATTCCGGCGGATTCTCTGACCAAGTAAGCAGATCTGACGTCGAAGTGTGAGGCTTCCTCACCGGAATTCTCTTGTCCATGGCTGCTCACAAAGAGTGATCCGTATGAATTTGGAAATTCAAATGTGTCTTGAACTGGGTATCGACTGAAAGATAACAGAGTGAGGAAAGTGATGAGACGGGAAATGACGATTTTGTCCTCACGAGATTTCTTGCGTAAGTTGCGTACTTGCGTTTCTTTTGCTTGTTGGTTCAGCTGCTTAAGGCTCGACTTGAGAGAGACTGCACAACATTACTTATACAATTATAGGGCACGTTATTGTACTTTCGGTTTTCTAAAACTATAATGCTTTAATTTGATCCCTTTGTGAAATAATAATATTTATTACAACATTTATTGTGCATTTGATATATTTTGAAAGTTTAAACTTTATATGCATCAAAATTAATATATCATTGTTGTAAAAAAAAAATAATAATAATATATCCATTACGTGATTGTCTCGTGAAAAGGATCTTAATTAGTGCCCTCTTACAAAAAAATCGTAGATTCTCTCTTCTGGGAGTGAAACGATTCTCTCATTGAGAGTGGAAAATTTTCGATTCTTCTTCGGGGAAGAAGGAGAGGGGTAGTTTTTAGTTGCCTGAGAGTAGTGAGCGAGAGGGTTTGTGAGTGAGAGTTTTTTAGGGTTAGGGCTTTCTTGAGATTGTGCGATGGATCGAGATTCAGCTGGGCCTACTAGATCACGGGAAGCGGCAGAAGAAGTGGAGGAAAGACTCCGTAATTTCTCTCTGTCAGCAAAAGAGAATGCGGATATTGAGTTGGGATCAGAGAATATTAAGGCTAGTGAGGGGGAATGTGGGCGTAGTTTGTTTGGGAAAGTGATTGGGGACAGATGGGCAAGCTTGTATGGGATTCGAAGAACCATGAGCATCATTTGGAGGGTTCAGAACCAGATTGAAGTAAGGGAACTTGGATCAAACTTTTTCCAGTTCATTTTTGGTAAGGAGGACCGTAGAAAGGTAGCTGCCGGACTTAACTGGATTTTCGAGAACCAGTACCTTATACTTCATTAATGGGTTACAGGTATGAATGCTAATCATCCTATTTTTTATGAGTTAAACATATGGGTGCAAGCTTTTGATGTTCCTCTGAATTGGCTAAGCACGGAAGTGGGGTTAAAACTGGGTAAACATTTCAACTCAGTAAAGAATGTAGTGGTGCTGAAAACTGGGGGTCCTGAGGGTAGATTTTTGAGATTACTGGTATCCTTAAACTTGAAAGAACCCCTTCCTCAGTGTGCTAATATAAAGCTGGGAGATCAGAGAGTGACAGTGAGATTCAAGTATGAGAAACTTGTTAACCTATGCTTCTACTGTGGCTTCATCGGCCATATTAATAGAGGTTGTGAGAAGAAGATGAAAGATATCGAATGTAAAAAAGTGAATGAGGGACAATTTGGAGGATGGATGAAGGCAGGGGATTGGGGCCAGAATAGCAGGAATGGACAGAACTCAAACCACTCGGGAAATTCTCATGAAACTCCAACAGGCTAGGCAAATCATCATTCTAATTCATCTGGGGTGGCCCAAAGAATGCAACCTGTGGCGACTCAACAATTGTTTGAAGAGGAAGCCAGTGGTACTGATGGAGGGGAGCCTTTGTCCAGGTTATGTGTTTTCAGTCCTCAGGAACAACGGGAGGGGCAAGGTAGTAAAGCAAATCTTATCCAGAAGAAAGATGCTCTGATAGTGCACAAACTTTTGGAGCAACATCAGATGGGTCAAGGGATGGAGATGGAGGAACAGAGACAAGTGGCAGTTGTTGGGGTAGAACAGACTTCAGAGGTGGAGTTCTCTACAGAGGCAATGGATGTGAGGGAGGAGGTTCAATTGAGAAATAATAGAACATGGAGGAGAGCCATTAGACAGAGAACAATACCTTTGAAATCAATTGAGGAAGAAGGGGAAGATCAGAAGGGTAAAACAAAGAAGAGAGGCAGAAAGGTAGGGGTGTTCAAACAAAGCAATAACACAGACCCAGTGAATGAAGGGGGGACAGGGAAGAAACCTAAAGTTGCAGCAGATGAGGTGGGGGTAGCCAGCCTAGAGTGGCCCCAAAGTGACAAATGAGGGCTCTGGTGTGGAATTGTAGAGGGTTGGGTGGACCCTCTACAGTTTCCCAAATCAAGGAGGTAATTAAACTTAGACATGTCCACGGGTCGAACCGGCCCGCCGAACCGGCCCGGACCCGGACCGAACCCGGCCCGGCCCGAACCGGACCCGGCCCGGAGAAGCCGGTTTTCAAACCGGAACCGGACATCTAAAGGGCCGGTCCCGGGCCTTTTCGGTCAAAAAAAAACCCGGCGGGCCGGGCCCCGGTCCGGGCCGGTCTCACTCCACACACCTCACTCACTATCTTCATCTATCTCTCCCAAACTCCCACACTCTCTCAATCTCTCTAATCTCTCCATTACTCCATAATAATATCTCTCCCTAATCTCTCTCCCACTTTAATTAAAAAAAAAATATATATCTACTTAATTTTTAATATAAATTTTACCTAATCTCTCTTCCTCTCCCTAATCTCTCTTCCTCTCCCTAATCTCTCTTCCTTTTTGTTTTTTTGTTGTATATTATTTTTTAAATTCAAAATGTCGAGCTTTTTTGGTCGTGGCCGTGGTTCGAAGTCCGGGCCCTCCGGGCAAAAGCGGCAACGGGAAGGCGCATCGTCGTCGACACCTCCATTGCCCTCATTTGCGAATCCAACGATACATGTAGATGTCCCGGGCGTGACCGACGATATAGATGCCGCCACAATCGATCAAATGTTCGATTTCGTTCAGCCTCCACCCTCACACGAGGTGGGCCCAGAGCAGCCGTACGAGGACCATCTCGACGATCTATTTGGAAGTACTCCTCCGGATGAGCAGCCACAACAACCCACACAGCCGGTCCGAGTTGTCGGGGGCGGTAAAGTCAAAACTCGGGATTCCGTCATGTTCGACCGACATTACACGAAGGCTCCAAATGAAAAGAAAGGAGGTGATCCTTATTTTCTGGCTATTTGCAACTACTGTCCGGCCAATTCGAAGACGAAGTATCAGTTCAAAAAAGGCGACGGGTACGGAACGTTGACCCGACATTTGAAGAATGTTCATCCGACAGTAATGGGAATCGACACGGCACAGACGCAATTCCCAAGTAGCAGCGGAGCATCCGCCTCAGCCACTCAAGGTGCAGGTACGTCTTCTTCTTTATTTCATTATTCTCATGAAAATCATAGACGTCATTTAGCTGAATTTGTTTCTGCTTCGTCTCTTCCTTATAGTTTTGGTGATAGTGATTTATATGAAAATTTTGCTCAAATGGCTTTAAATCCGTCTGCCAACCGAGTTCCTCGTACCACCCTTACTCGCGATATTCGAAAAATCGTGAGTGAGAAGAAACTAATTTTAAAAGAAAATTTTAAATCTTTAAATCATAGAGTATCCATTTGTGCTGATATATGGTCCGATCATTGGATAAATAATTTTTATTTAGGGATTACTTGTCATTGGGTTGACGATAGTTGGACTTTACAAAAACGTTTAATCGGTTATGTTGCATTTCATGAACGACACACTGCTTCTAATATTGCTCGTTTAATTTCAAAAATCTTAGATAATTATAGTATTGGTAAAAAAGTATTTTCAATTTCATTTGATAATGCGACTGCAAATACTGCATCTATACGTGAATTAAATGATGTTTGTACACCAATCTGTGGGGGTAGATTTTTTCATATTCGTTGTATATGTCATGTTTTAAATTTGTGTGTTCAAGCTGGTTATCATGTTTTTAAGGATTCTGTAAAGCCAATAAGGGAGGCCGTCAATTATTTGCATAAACGTCCCCAAGAAATGAAAGCATGGGGACGATTTTGTAAGAGTGTTGGAATTAAACCTAAAAAATTCCAGCCAGACGTGCCTACCCGGTGGAATTCAACATTTAAAATGTTGAATGTCACCGCTGATTATGCCAAGCATTTACAGGATTTTTTTAATGATACAAACCGTAGGGATTGTGATGTTCGACTTTCGGTGAATGATTGGGCAAACTGTTCGCAACTTACAAATTTTTTAGAAACATTTCAAAACGCTACTAATATTCTTTCTGGTGTTTACTATCCTACTGCTCAACTTGTGGTCAGTCAATGTATAGCTATAATGTGGGGTTTTAAAGATATTTATGACTTAGATCCTTTTAAATATTCTGGTCTAGTAGAAAATATGTTAGAAAAATGGCTAAAATATTATTACTATATTCCCGATACATTTTTAATTGCATGTCTGTTAGATCCTACAGTTCGTGAGCAAGGTTTGTTAAATCAACTTAATATGTACTATGATTATATGTATCAATTGCCACTGCCGAGTGGGGTCCCGACTTACAGGGACAAACCTAACATACCGCAGCTCGTCGAGCAAGCAAAAAATTCTTTGTATGACATGTTCAAGGAAACAGCGATCGCACATGGAGAGTCTCCCAGCACATTTGTTCGTAGCAGCGGCGCAAGCGGCAGCGGGTCTTCATCTTCGTACGGAGGGCAAAGCGGCAATACAAACTTCGGAAACTTCAAAGTGTTTTGGGATTCATTAAATCCCTACAAAAACTCGGGCGGTCAAAGGGTGCAGGGGACTGGATACTATGAGCTGGATCACTACCTTACGTCGAATTTAGCCGTTACGATTGCACGTCCACCTCAACCGCCACTCAATTTCGATGTGTTAGATTGGTGGTCAAGAATGGGAGGAATTTTTCCTATTCCATGCATTATGGCCAAGGAGATCTTTGCTGTCCCAGCATCTACAGTCGCGGTTGAGCAAGCATTCAGTGAGGGCGGCTACATGCTAGATCCACGACGGTCGAGGATGACGCCTGATAATCTTCAAGCACAAATGTTACTGAGTGATTGGAAGAAGGCCGAACGAAGGATGCAAACTGCTATGCTCACTTCGAATGAGGAGGAGGACGACAACGACGATGCATCCGATTTTACGTCGTCGACAAGTGGAACCGGGGGGGACGTCGAAGACGAATACGAATATTAAAGGTATGCAGCCAAGGTATGTGATTTAGAAGAACTACGTGGACTTTGATTCCCAAATAAAGGGATACGTAGGCACCTTATTTAACATTATTAAGTTCGAGTATAATTTTTTGGCAACAAAATTTTTCATCGTACACGATATTCGAACTTAATAACTGTTAACTAAGCTCAAGTCCATTACATTAATAATTTTTTTCTTTACACTTATTCGACTTCATTTGACGTACAATTTAGCATTTCTAAACTACCTCAAGTTGTACTTCTCCGCCATACTCAATAAAATACAACACCGTTAACCGTTTGGTTCCAAGAATTGACGCCCGATCATTATTTTTGTTTCATTTTGAAATGATATAGACAAACAGACTCAAAAACTTATATTTTCGAAGTATATACAAACTATTTATTCAAATAAACATTAATATACATTAAAATAACAAAAAAAGTAAAAAAAAAATTAATAAACCCGCAAACCCGCCGGGCCCGACCCGGAACCGACTCGACCCGCCGGGTTTGCGACCCGGCGGTTAAGGGCCGGTTCAGTGAACCGGCCCTTAGTTACAAGCGGGCCGGGCCCGGTTCACTACACGGTGAACCGCCGACCCGGCGGGCCGGGCCAGGTTTCGACCCGGCCCGGCAAATGGACACGTCTAATTAAACTCCACCACCCCTGTTTTATTTTTTTGTCAGAAAGAAAAAAATCGATGGCATTTACTAAGACTATATGTAGGAAGTTGGGGATGGAAGATAGATGGAAATTGGTGGAGCCAGTGGGGATAAGTGGTGGGTTGCTCTTAATGTGGAATTTGGAGGTGGAGATAAAGCATGTGAAGTGTTCTGAGTTCAGTATTGGGGTTGAATTTAGGATGGAGGGGGAGGCTATGTGGGAGTGGTGTACTTTTGTCTATATGAACACTGACAAGAGGGTGAGAACTTTGCAATGGAGTCAGTTGACAGAGGAGAAAAATGATTGGGGAAGGAAGTGGTTACTAGTGGGAGATTGGAATCATATATGTTGGAAGAAGAGAAGAAAGGGGGGAGATTGAGATCAGAGGCTAGTATGCTGGGTTTCAGAGGGTTTGTGGAGGGGATGGGAATGAAGGAGTTGGATATGATAGGTCAATCTTATACTTGGGGGAATAATAGGGAGGGAGAGGGGTTTGTGGAGGAGAGAATAGATGAGGCTTTTGCATCCTTTGATTGGCTAGTGAGCTATCCATCAGCCATTGTGCAGAGTATCTTTAAATCAGCTTCAGATCATTGCATGTTACTGGTGGAGAGAGACAAGGGGAAACCATAGGTGAAGAGAAGATTCAAATTTGACAAGAGGTGGACCAAAGAGGAAGAAATAAGGGATAGGTTGCTGTCAGTGTGGGATAAAGAATTAGAGGGCACTCCAATGCGGAAGGTGGAAGAAAAAATCAAGCTATCTAGATTAGCATTGAGGAATTGGGACTGGCAAAAGAAATCTAATAGTAGGGAGCAGGTTGAGAAGCTATCTCTGAGGTTAGAGAGTATGAGGGGATTAGGAGGTGATAAAGATTGGGAGGAGTGGAAATCTATTAGAAAGGAGTTGGATGCAGCATATCAGGCTGAGGAAGTGTATTGGCAGCAAAAGGCCAGAGTGCAATGGTTGAAAGATGGTGATTGCGATTCAAAAATTTTCCATGCCTATACCATCCAAAGGAGAAAGCAAAATGCCATTAGTAGACTGGTGGGGGAAGGTAACAGAGTGTTAGCACAGAGAAGGAAATTGAGGAGCATATTCAAAACTTCTATGATAAGCTGTTCAAGTCTGAAAATTCAACAGGGGGGGATCTCTTACTCCAGCACATCCCCCAAACTATAACAGCCCAGATGACCAATGATCTAGTAGGCCCAGTGGATGAAGACATCATCAAGCAATCTCTTTTCAGCCTCAATCCTAACAAAGCTCCAGGGGAGGATGGTATGTCAGCCTTTTTCTTTCAGCACTATTGGTCTATTGTTAAGAAAGATTTATGTCTTGCTGTTAGTAGTTTTTTTGAGTCTGGTATGCTTTTAAAATCCTGGAATCATACTTTGATTACTCTTGTTCCTAAATGTGTGAAACGTGACTCCCTCAGTCAATTCAGACCCATAAGCCCGTGTTCTGTGATCTATAAAATTATTGCTAAGATTTTGGCTGATAGGTTGAAGGTGTGTCTTGATGAGTGTATTGATGTTGCTCAGTCAGCCTTTATTCCAGGGAGACAATTGATGGATAATGTGATTATAGCCCATGAAACCTTTCACTTTCTTAATAGGCATAAAACTGGGCAGAATTGTTTCATGGCATTAAAGTTAGATATGGAGAAGGCTTATGATAGAGTGGAATGGGGATGTGTGAGGGATATTATGTTAAAAATGGGTTTTCATGGGAGGTTTGTGAGATGATTCTTTCTTGTCTGTCTACTCCTTGCTTTTCTTTTAACATTAATGGTAGAGTGGGGGGTATGGTTAATCCTTCTAGGGGGTTGAGGCAAGGTGACCCAATATCCCCTTACCTCTTCTTGATAGTGTCTCAGGTTCTTTCAGCTGCCATTACCAATGAAGTGGGGTTGGGTAGATTTAAAGGTGTGAGGTTGGCTAGGGATTGTCCTACATTGACCCATCTCCTTTTTGTTGATGATTCCCTGGTTTTCTGTCATGCTACCACTGATCAGGCTCATCTGATAAATCATATTTTGTGCCTTTATAAAGCTTTCACATGGCAGAAGGTTAATCTCACTAAATCCTCCATTTTTTTCAGTAAAAACACTTTTGAGGGAGTTAACAGGAGTGTGTGTACCATTCTTGAGGGGATTAAAGTCCAGAATTCTACTAGGTATTTAGGACTCCCTTTGGGTATTGGGAAATCTAAACTTGAGACTTTCAATTTTGTTGTGGAGGCTGTGAGAAATAGGATAGTGAGCTGGAAGAATAAATTCTTGTCAGCTGCTGGGAAAGAAACATTAATTAAAGCTGTTCTAAATGCTTTGCCAGTGTTTGTGATGAGTTGTTTTCAGATTCCTAAGGGAACATGTAAAGTTATTGCCAGCTTGTGTGCCAACTTCTGGTGGAGCACAGGGGAAGATCAAGGCAAAGGCATGCATTGGAAAGCTTGGAAAGAACTAACTTTATCAAAAGACATGGGTGGGCTGGGCTTCCAAGATATCAAATTGTTCAATCAAGCCCTAATGATCAAGCAACTCTGGAGGATATCAACACAGCCTAATCTGTTGGTGAGCAAGATCCTAAAAGGCAAATATTTTGCAAATCACTCTATCTTTGAGTGTAAGAAGAAACCCAACTCATCATGGCTTTGGAATTGTTGGCTGGGTGTCCTACCATTATTGCAACAAGGTCTAAAGGTAGAAATCAGAAATGGCAGGTCAACTAAACTCACAGACTGGAACTGGGTAGTGAATGGTCCAACTAAAATCAAGCAGGGAGCTGTGGGAATAGATATCTGGGTGGCTGATCTAATGGCAAATGGTGGGAGGAATTGGGATGAGAGGTTGGTGAGGGGTACTTTGAAGAAGCTGAAAGTAGACAAGTATTGCAAATCAACACCCTTAACCAGAGGCTGAAGATAAGTGGAGGTGGACCTTTGACACTAAAGGGCGGCATACTGTGGCAGCAACTTATGCTAAGCTGATTGTGGAGAAAGCTTTGATGATGGATAGAGCTGAAAGTAGTAGGGCTGCTCAGAGGAGTAAAGAGGCCAGGAAGAGATGCTGGAATTTGAAAGTGCAGGGGAAGGTCAAGCATTTCATCTGGAGAGCATTTACAGATACATTACCAACCTTGGCCAATATTCAAAATAGGGGAATGGACATTGATGCTAGGTGCAGAGGGTGTGGCGAGGCAACAGAAACAGTGCAACATATTCTATTCCAATGCAGAAGGGCTCAGATGGTGTGGAAGATGTCTCCTGTGCAATGGGCCGACTTAGCTGGAGGAGAAGGAGAGTTTAAAGAGTGGTGGTGGTGGATTAGTACACCGAATCACACTGATGTGGCTGAGAAGAGAATCCAGCTTTCCACATACATCCTTTGGTGGCTGTGGAAAGCTAGAAATCTCTGGGTATTTGAAAACTTTTGGAAACCGAAGAGGATGATTGTGAAGATGGCAGTTAGGGATTGGCTGGATTTTGTAAGCTGCAGAGAAGCTGGGGACTGAAGGGCTGACAGGTTCTATGCTAGGTCTGAGGACAGTGGCTATGGATTTGTTATGCTTTTCTTTGTGATGTTGCTATGTTTGTGTAGGTTTTTTTCAGTTTTTGGTGGTGTGGTGATGTTGTATCTGTTGGATTTCAGCTCGTGTGGCTGCCTTCAGTGCATTTGATGTGTTGTTGTCTAGACCAGAGCATGTTCTGGTTCTCTCATTGTATCCCGTTTGTATGAACAATTTATTTTGTTATGAGATCTCCTATCGTTTGGAAAAAAAAAAAGATTGTCTCGATTCCTTAAATTAATGTATACTAAGTTGTTTGTATTCCCATGTGAGTTGTCTTTTTTCTCTTGTTGGGAGCTTTTGTTTTTTAGTGTCGTTCAAATATTTAGGTTCTCTTGTTGGGAGCTTTTGTTTTTTAGTGTCGTTCAATATTTAGGTTGGTTCTAGACTGTCTCGGACTTTTGTCTATTAGGTTACCCCTCCAACTAAATTTAGCTGAGTTGTTGATTTATTCGGTTGTTTGACTGTTTTCTAATCTGTAATTATGTGTTTTTCTTTAATTGAAGTCTATCGTTTGAAAATAAAATATTATAAAGGCAACCAAATAAATACAAGATTTAAAAAGATGATTTGTGTAACTCGGTAAAACATCTTCATTGTCCGAGATTGACTATAAATTTTATATGATTTTTATCGGTCGGATAATTTTTTTTAAGTACTTGACTCAATATTCCAACTCAAATTTAATTCAACTCAACTAATTTCAATATCTATACATACAAATAGAATAAGCATTTATCGGAAATTATAAAAAACTAAAAAAATCCGCCAATAATTAATGCATGCTATAATTAATAAGATTTTAAAATTGTGTTGCAACACAGAGAAATAAATTGTGGAAGCACGAATATAAAAACAAATATCTCCGGGGAACGTCCCACTACCCCTCAGAGCTCTTTCATTGATAAATCGGTTTGCGCGCACAAAGTACATCTTGGACTTACTCAACTCGGACTCCCTCCTAGCCTAGTCAACACTATACCTGATCCTATCAATTACTTCTCTAGCGACAAACACATGGACTTAAAAAATAGCTATGGATCCCTCTCAGCTGACAAAGTACTAAATCCCTAAGCACTAAAAGTGTATGTAAAAGAAATAGAAACTAAACGAACTCAGTTCTTCAACAATGTAAGAACGCTGAAGTGCTGAGACGAACAAAATAAAAAGAATAAAAAACTCTCAAATACTCAATATAATATGATGAATGATGAACTCGATTATTGCAGTAGCTCTCTTCAATTGATTGTTTGAGTATGATTAAATACAATTTCCTTAAAGGAAGAAGTCTTCACAAGTTTCTCCTTTAGGAGTCAAATTCCTTCTCAATTGATTCCTTTTATATATGGACGAAATCCTTCATTTAGAATAAGTTTCTTTGAAGTAGAATTCGTGTATGTGATTTAGAGATCTTCGGAATTGAGTTTCCAATGGAAATCTTGTGTTTTCAAACTCGTGTAAGAACACGACTTTCCTAAAATAGCCGATCTTCCAAATCTCAAAGATCTTGCGGTGAATCTTTCCAAATCCTCCTTAGATAATCTCTAGAACGTTTAGAATTCTTTATGTGGGGATAACTCATCTAGGAGTTTTTAACTAAAACCATGAATTAAATCTTAATTTTGTTACTTTATAATAATTTCTTAGTTGCATTATTCAACATGTTTTGTAATATGTATAAATTCTGCACGGAAATCAACCCGTTGATCAATGCTTTAAGATCTTTTATCCATGGCTCCCAAATTCCAATGTTAAATTTCATTACGAAAAAAATGAAATATTTTATTTGTTAACACGCAAGAACTGCATGTAGACGTAAGGGATGATAAAGGATTAGTATACCTTCCTTTAATCACAAAAGCTTAAATACGAAAAAATTTAGAGAAGATTATATCTTCTATAAGAAACAAAATTTCAGTAGTTCATCTTGGGGCAGCAAAAACATTGCTTAAGACTGAATTTCAAGAAGAGATTGATACCCATATAAAAATTGCATTAATCGATGACATAATTAATGACAGAAAATATTGTATATTAGGACCAGCAGAAGATAATCTTGCCTATGGTAAGTTTATCTTCACGGTCTATCCTAGGTTTGGTATGTCTATTCAGATTGCTAATTTAGATAAAATCTTATCTTTCATTCACCAGTTTAAAAGAGAAAGTTTAACGAACTCTATAGACATACTCTTTAGTGTTACATATGTTATAAGTGTAACACCCCGCTCATCAGAGTAACTTTTTCGCAACTTTTACTTCAAAAATATTTATAACTCTTTCGAAATCTTTTGCGACTAACTCGGGATGCTACTCAAACTCATCTTTTCTGAAAATTCGTTTATCTTTAAACTTTGTCTAATACTTCTTTAGACATAAAGAAAACAGATTTATATAACTTGCATTTAACTATACCATATTCATACTTCTGAATGGTAAAACTTGAAATCTGAAATTTATTTAAAGTGCAAGTTCATGTCTTAATATGCATAGCGGAAATACTGAAAAACGTGATTTATTATACAGACATATCAAATACTTAATGAATGTCCACTGAAATAAGTGGACGACCACCACCACCACATCTCAAGCTCACACCTCCGGCCCGACCCTGTTACTTGAAAAACATAATGGGGGTGAGTACTGATCCTCTTGTACTCCATAAAAACCTATACTAAAGCAAACATCAATAATAATACAATATCATGATCTTTGGTATATATCTGAACTGGAAATCTGTTCCAGTAACTGAAACTGAATCTGGCCGATATCTGATCGGATACTTGTGCACAATCTGATCGATATTTCTCAAGGCAACTCAAGCGGCCTCCATCAGAACTTAGGATATTCTCTAAGACAACTGAATGCCTTCTCATCCCAAGCGTATAAACTTTAAACTGTATACATACCTCGGACATGATATCAATATTATACTCAATGTAATACCCAGTTTGGGTCCCCACCTTTCTTCGTTTGAAAAATCGTAAGTGTTGATCTCGAGTAGCTAACTCTTCAAGCTACATAAAAATATATAAACAAATATACTAAGTACTATGCTCGTATACTCAATAAGATGCTCGGATTCTCAACTCTTTCGGATAACTCATCCAAATCTTATAAAATTTCAATAGTCATGCTATTGCTCAAACTTAACTTTTCTTGATCTTTTACTCATCATATACTTAACTCATCATATATCATATCTCCCAATCTTATATATTGGCTTATACTCATTTTTCACTTAATTAACTTGAAAGTGAAAATTTCTCAAAACATACTCAACTTTTAAATCATAATTCTCAATTAATATTAATATGTGAGACTTAAAAGCAATCTTTATAAGATTATATACTCAACATATCAAACTAAAACTTGGTCAAATTGCTCATTACTTATATGAGAATTGATCATAATAATCTCACTTTAACAACTTGAACATATCATTAATATTCTTGCATATATAGTCATCTCTACATATATGCCATCTAATCATTTTAACTCATTCATTTCTCACCTTCAAATCATGAAATTTAACAGTCATAATCTCAACTCGTAATTAGACATGTCAAAAAATTTCATAATTTTAGCATGCATATTGTAACGCCCCGTTTGTTTATTAGAATTTTCTCACTATTATATTATTATTATTTGAATTAATTGTCTACATTGTATTACTGCTCGATATTTTCGGTTAGCCTTTTTATTTTAATTGGATGATCTCGTCTGATTGATTTAATAAGTCGCGTTATTTTATTATTGTCCATCGCCAATTGTTCAATCATATCGATCGGTAGTCCTTGTTATCGCGTTATTCTATCGGCCCAATTTATCGTAAATATTTTCGGTCCTTTTGAATAATTTTATTTCGGCTCAAGTCGAATTATTTTCGACCTTTATGTGCTATTAAAATCCGAACCTTGAATTTATTCATTTAGCCCAAATAAGTTCCAATTTCAGTCCATTTGGATTATTTTATTCTCGGCCATTTTATGTTATTTAGGTCTTAAGTGTTTAAATTTGATTGAGATAAGTACTCCTTATACGACCTCATTTCTTTTTATTTTCCAAAGAACGGGATTAAAAGTTTCAATCCACTACAACGTCCAGAGGTTCATATTTACGAATGTGTAGATACTTTAATTCCAAAAATAATCTCTTTGAAACCCTATTTAATTCTCCTAATCCTCCTCGCCTAGACCTATCTCGCCGCCAATGGAGAGTCACCCCCGCTTCGAGATATTCTCCCGCCGCTTGCACCGTCCACTGTCTGAACCATCCGCCGCCGGATTTGCCGCCGAATCTACAGTCTGAGATGAGTGAGTTCTCATTTTTCTGTGGTGAGCTCGCTTATGGCTCTATTTCCTTTCACCTTATTCATCTCTGGTGATTTTTTTCCACTGTGTCCTAAATTTCAATTTTTGTCGAAGGCTTGTTGAAATATATTATCTCTGTTNATTTTTTTTTTTTTGTTGTTGTGGAGGTTTGATCTTAGATCTATGAGTTGCTGGATTTAAGATCTGAATTACTCCGGCGAAAAGTTCCAGCGGGACCTTCGTTCACCTCCGACAACGACACCTTCACATTTGACGGCAGATGAGTGTGCGTGCGAGGAAAGAGGCGCGTGGAAAACGGACCGCCGCATTGTGCAGAATTGGATTCGCCGCCATGGTCTGTTCGAGTTAAAAAGTTCTTTGATAGGAGTTTGTGTTAATATGATGTTTATCTTGAGTTGATGTTTGTTAAATTATTTTCAAAAAAGTTATTTGAATGTAGTTTTGTCACAGATTAATTTGATGTTTATTGATTGTATATTTTTGTCTTATCTATGGTGATGTTTATCTTGAGTTGATTTTTTTAGTTATTGATTGTATTTTTTTTGTCTTATCTATGGTTTATAGTGAGTTTATTTTATTTATTTATTTTTTTTGTCTATTTAAATTTTTATGAATTAGTAAAAAAATTAGATAATAAACATAAGATAAACTGAAAATTAATTTTTAATAAAGTATAGAAATAGTGCAATAAATTTAAGATAAACTGAAAGTAATCTAAAAGAATTCATAGTACGAAGATAATGAAATAAATATAAGATAAACTAAAAGTAATCTAAACAAATTCACAAAAGATAAACTAAAAGTAATCTAAAAAAATTCACAAAAGATCATGAGCGTGATTTTCAAATAAAAAAGGCGTTGGAGAACAATGGACTTAGTTTAAATCAAAAAGACTTTCGGAGACATAGGTGAAATTAGTTTAGATTTCTCATAATGAGGGAAAAGTTTTTCCAAAACAGAACAGATATGTCTTTAAGCCGATTTGATTAACCATTTTCGTCCCAAAATTAATTCCTTGGCCCATTATGTGAATATGCCTCGGCCCACGTTGGAAAATTACTCCTTTCTTCATCGACCGAAATTCCTCCCCCAACATATCAGATCCGTTGCGATTCTTGGATGAGAAATGTCTCCCACGTTCATCATTTTCTCCTATTTAGACTCGGCCAGTAGTTCAATCCGGACCAGAATCAGATCGAGAAGTAAAATCCCAAATCTCATCTCCTTCATTTCTCTTCCGTCCCAAATCAGATCGGGAATGAGAAAACCAAATCCTCTCCCAAATCTCGTCACTCTCAGCGTCTCGCCATCGTCAAATCGCCCTCGCCAACGAACTAGTGAACAACCGGCGAGCCCACCGATTGACGTTCAGAGCTTCGATCGGTGACCTCAGTTTCACAGCAACTGTGTCGTCCGACCTCGAGCAGCGAGCCGCGACCTCTGAGTTCTGGCCTCCGGCCATACGACGGCAAGAGCACCACGCCTCAACGACGGTATTTTCGGCGAGAGCAGCACCAATCCGACGACGACAAATCAATCCATTCGGCCAGCAAGCTTCCAGCAGCGAGCCACCAACTACCGACGACCGTGAGCCCTCCATTCAAGGCGAGCCGAGGGTCATCAGAATTCCTGGCGACGGGACCAACGTCCGACGAAGCCAGTCCTCCAGCAACTTCAGGCCTCGATTCCCGTCGGGCTGCGACTGTTTGCAAGCCCCGACCATTGTCCAGCGATTTCGAGCTCTCGACGACCGAGGTTTGCTTAGCCCCGTCTTCCGACAACGGCCGAGACCTCCGACTTCCAGCCATGTCCTCGACCTGCGATCGGCAACCGAGGCTCCGTCCGGCGGCCTTCGTCCGACCTCGCCAAGCTTCCGGAAAGTCGAGCCATCGGATTCCCGGTGAGTTCTAGACGACCGTGAGTAGCGGGTTCCGACGACTAAGGACTACCCGACGAACAGAGGAGGGCCGAAGTGCCGAGCTGCAGCCGCTTAGCCGAGCCGAAAACCGTCTGAACCGAGCTCCTTTCTTTCTCTGTTTTTCACGGTAATTTGGCTGAGTCTTTAGCCTTCTTTTGGTCGTGATTTTGTGGTTCAAAAATGCTCAATTTCACTTTTGAATTTTTGTGATATACATGTTTAAGTTTGAAGAGAAAGGGAGACTTTGTGTGACATTCCTGCCGTGGTTTTTTTTTTTCTTTTTTTTTTTANTTGTCTTGCACTTATCCTGCTGGAACATGTTTAAGACCTAGAGTTTTTCAATTATTTTTTTAATGTAATGATGGTTCTTGAGCTTGAGATAAGAAAGGAAAAAAAGAAGCATGAGATTTCGTTGTTGATGCCCTGTTTGAGTGTGTATGACTCCTTGCTGGATTGACGTGGTGTCCTTAGCATGCTGTAGATGGAGACATTTCAGAGGTTTAACCTCGGTTCATATGGCCTTTATGTGTTTCTATGAAATTGAGAAAAAGAATAAAGGAAAGGAAAGGCTACATAATTGTTGTTGCTTGATGCCCCTTTTTGCTGAACTGTTAATGTGTTTATGTGCTTATTTGTGACCAAATTGTTATGTAATGTTATGCTGTGATGTTGGTAATTTTGAAGGCTGAAATTTATGTGTGGTTAGAGCACTTTATCTTAGTTTTGTTTCGGCTTTGAAAGTGGTAAGAGTTTGAGAAAAAGGAAAAAGATAAATGAAAGTATGTTTATATGTTAATCTTGTCCAATGTATGATGCCCTTATTTGCTGAGCTCTTGAAATAAATGGCATCCTGAAAAGTTTATATTTCAGAGGTTTCATACTCAGCCTCAAGGCCCTTTAGATTACTGTATAAGCTTGATAAAAGTAAATCGAAGTTGGCATATATTTGGTACATCTTTTAGCCATGCGAGTTAATTTGATTCTGAGCCTTGATTATGACCACTGTATGCTGAGCATGTTTCATATAAGAATATTTTATATAAGAGTAAATTATTTCAACTCTTAAGGTATAGATATGTGTTTTTGAAATTGATAAAAAGAAAAGTTAGAAGATTATGTGTTTTTATGTATTGTTTTGACTGATTATTGTGCCCTAATCTACTATGCGTGCCTTGCGCGGTTTAATGGTATTCTTTGTGTGTTGTTATATCTGTTTTCTAATCAACCCAATCAAAACCCTTAATAACAATTAAATCCCTAATTTTTAGGTTAGAGGAGTCGAGCCGTCGACCTACGTTCTTCAGCTTGTGTGCTATTGCCTACTCGATTACCAGGTGGGTTTTATTTAAAATTGTCTATGCTGTAAATGTTATTACTGTTTTAAATTTGGTATGATCAATGTATGCATGTGAACCATGTAGCCTTCGATGGGAGCTGTACCGGCCGTCGAACGGTTATTCCCGTAGCTATATAACGTACCCGTAGGGTAGTCTCCATTTTGAGCCCTAAGACCATGGTTAAAGGCCCCTGTGCTGGACACATTTTGAGCCGTAAGACCTGGGTTAAAGGTCCTTGTGCTGGACACATTTTGAGCCGTAAGACCTGGGTTAAAAGTCCCTGTGCTGGACAACCCCGTTGGTAAGACCAAGGTGAGGCCTTGGCCGACGGGATACTCCTACTGGCCGGACACTCATTGTAAGGCCTTAGATAAGGTGTTCGGTATATAGTTCGGCAGTAGTCTATTGCTATAGGTGTGCACATGAGTCTATTATTGATATGATTGATGGGAGATTGGGATAATTAATTGATTCGTATACATGCTGAGACCATACCTTATTAATTATTGATTACGGTTTCATTAGTGTGAATAATGTTTACTGCATAGTGGTGAGCACTACTTTTTCCTCTTGTGCTCATCCCCACCTGAAATTCACGTTTCTGGTTAAGCAAGGCAGGTGCGACGCGGAGTCAAGCGAGTGGTGATCGGTCTATAAGACTGACCTTATTATTGTTTATGCTTCCGCATTTATGAATTTGGAATACTATTGTTTTATGAATTTCTGGATTTTATGATTGAAAAATGATGAGGAGATGCTCCTTAAGGCTTATGAATACTGTTTGGAACCCGGTTTTGGTAATATTGAATATTGCATTATTGATTTTTGCGTTATTGATGACTGATAATCGATAATGATGATTGATTGGGTATTAAAAAAAAAAAAAATTGGATAAGCATTGAAGTTTATTTTGAAAGATGAGTAGCGCCTCAAGTATATTGAAATTAATTCGAAAAATTTATTCTGATTTTCGGCAAATAAAAGTGGGGCGTTACACATATACATCAAGTTATTGGAATTTAAAGTTACAACTAAAACATTGAACATAAAATTCAGCATACATGTTCATCTTCAAGTCTCTATAACTTAAGTTATACTATGCCAAATAACTTAATTCTTGTTTTCATGTACTCCTCTTTTACACAAGAATTTCTCATTTAAATCATACTTTTCCAGCTTATTCATATCTTTATCAACATCTCATCACATCAAGCACATATATCATATAATTGATCTTGAACAACTTTTAACTCTTTGTATTCATAGAATCAATTATAAACTCAACTTATAAATCATGATATACATACTCATAATCATTTCAACTTATCATCAAAGCATGAACTTTAGTATGAAACTTTAAGATAAGTAAATTACCTCCTTTTTGCTAGAATCGTAACTTGATTCTTCACTTCTCCATACTTTCTACTGCTTATCTCTCTTACACACTTATATAACTTTTGGTACTTATCTTTGGTGTAAGAACTCTGATTTTAAGCCTTTATTTATAGGCACAAATTGCAAGACATAAGGATTGAGTGAAGAAATGTACAAAATAAACAGTTTAATCTTATAAACTTAATTAATCATAAACTAATTAATGAGTAACTTGTATACTTCTCAAAAACATAGTTAATCCTTAAAAGTAGCCTCTGGTTGAGATTACAATCGGATTCTCAATAATCAGACTTTACTGTCGGTCACACGACTCATGTGGCATGTCACACGACTCGTGTGACTCCACACGACTCGTGTGGCTATGTCACACGACTCGTGTGAAAAAGCCGAAGCTAACTTTCCTCTCCCCATCCTCCCACACGACTCGTGTGCCTTGTCACACGACTCGTGTGGCTTGTTCCTTGAAAAACTCTTAATTTCGAACTTATAACTGAATACTGGGTTTCGAAATTAATTAAATATTGGAACAACTACTGATACTTTATTAATAACTGAGAGGGAAATTACAATAAGTTAGAAAAATTTACACCCTATACTATCAGATGTATTTTATATTACACATTTACACTTAATATTTATTTGCAAAGATACAAAATCACCCCAACATAATTGCATATATACTAGAATTCAAATTTAAGTTAACTTATTCTTTAATTAGTGAAGGAGACAGATTACACGGGATTTTATACATTAACTCTCCTTCTATTGACTCTCATCTCTCCTTACATAACGCATCACGAGGAACCCAAGTGCAGTAAAACTTACAGATGTTCGCATAAAAGCAAGATCTACAACCAATAAAAAAGAAGAAATTCAAAAGCATGCAAAATAATCACCAATCGATCACCTTGCTGAAAGCAACAGACACGAGGAACATTGTGTAGAAGAAGAAGATGAAGGTGTAGAAAGATCGGACGGTGGAGGCCATCCCGCCGTCTGTACCAAGCCCCTATCGGATCTGAATCGATAATCGAAAATGTAATAGCCCAGTTCAGTTATTAATAAAAGTGACAGTTTTTAGTTCTAAGTTTGAACTAATTTTCTTTTATTAATATTGCTCGTTTATAGTTCCGAGCCCAGTTATTCAGCTATTCAGTTCTAAGTGCGACTTTTAAGTCGTGAGTATTCTTGGTTAATTCCAATCAGTAACCGAGTCAGTTTCAGAAATTAATTTTAGTCTGTTTATTTTTAAAAATGGACATCAACAGTCGGGATTACTTATTTCCAGTTGACGAATAATCGGAATTTAGTATATTTCGATAAATCGTCCAAGTCAAGTCGTGAACGGAACCAAGTTTTTCGGTCACGAGTCTCGCGCCTAGCCAATTCTCGAGCCCTAGTAATGCCGAGTCTTGATCAAGCCATAACCGCTTGTAGCCTTACTTAGAATTTTTCTAAGTATGAGTCATCATCATCGAGCCCTAGAACTAGCATTTCCTCGGCCTAAGTGTCTTGCACCTAGCTCGTGTACGGGTCCAAGCCACTCGCGCCAAGGTTCACGAGCCGAGTCCCAAGCCATGCCGAGAAGGCTCAAGTCATAGCCTAGCATGTATGGGAATTTTTCTAAGTATATTGGAATCATAAGTTCAGCCTTATATAAGTGTTAGCCTCGGCCCAAGTGATGCCGAGCCCTAGCACGTCTAGCACCAAGCCATGCACACCCGAGGTCTAGTGCCGAGCCTTGCCTAAGTTCATAGCTGGGCCTATGTGGGATATTCCTAAGTATTTTTGGCTTCAAAGTAAGCCCTATACATATGGTATTCTCGGCCCAAGTCAAGAGGAGGCGCAACCCAAAAATGCCTCGCGCCAGCCCAAGCAATGACGCGCCTAGGCCCTAGCGTCGGCCCATGTGCGCGAGCCCACTTACCTAGCCCAAGGGATGAGTTTCGGCCCACATTCCTCAAGCCCAAGAATGTGCGAGTATGATCAGGGGATCAAGGGAGATATTCAACTTAAGAAAGCCTTAATGTGGATTAAGGAAAGTCAACACAATTAAGCATGTAGTGGGTGATGGGCAAGTGAATATTATATTCAAGAGTGTAAGGCCATTGTCTCCCACTTACCTAGTGCTTGACCAGAATTGTTCCCCACACTATTTTCATGCCTCGGTCAGTCCAAAGCCCCTGCCAACCCACCAGAATCGTACACCAAGACCATGCAAGGCGTGCCCATGCGCCTAGGACCAAGGGAGTGCGCCACTAATGTCTCAAAGTCTTGAATTATTTCCTCCGCCCCAAAACTCTTTATAAACCACTCTCGTCAGCAGTTGAGGAGTCTGGAACACTTAGAAATCCTGAGCTTATAGAGAAAAAAGAGGAAATTGCGAGAGCATTAGTCTTGACCATCTACACGCGCACAAGAGAGGAAAGGGAAGGGGGACCGAGCCTTACACCACTCTAGCCTTATACACTCGTGGTCTATCATTACCCTCGTTTGGTGGATTTTTGTAAGTCTTTACAAGCCATCAATCACAGCCTTAAGCCACTAAGCCGAGCCAAGGACCTTGAGATCGTGAGTAGAGCACGAGTGAAGAGAACCAACACCATTTGGCTTTTCGGTGAAGGTAAGCTCGTGCTAACCAATTTTCTTAGCTCATACATGATATTTTAAGAATTATCATGAAGAGAAACGAAGCCATGCACGTCCTTAAAGTCAAGTTTCGAATTTTTGAAAGTTAGAGCTTTAAATTCGGGTTATTATTTACATGCATGAGTAGGCCAACTTTAGTAGCTCATTATTCCTTATAAATCATGAATATGACATTGGTAAAAGATAGACATGTTTTGAGTTTGTTTGCTCGGTCAAGTAGATTGTGAAATTGAGCGTATTTTTCACTCCCGAGTCAAATTATTATGTATGCGAGTAAAATCCAATGTTTCAGCCCTAGAAGCCATGATTTATATAGGTTTTCATTCAACCTTGAGTATAAGAGTAAGGTGAGATAAGTTTTTTTGGTGACCTAGGGTCCGTACGAGCCATATCGGCCCTACTGGACCATTTCCCTATCCAACCGAGTACCATAGTGTTTCTTGGCATATTTATGAGTCTTATGTCATTATATGTTGGATTAAGTTCATTGCCACCGGAAGAGTAGCCGGAAGTCCGGGGAGGACCGGTCACGGTCACTGGTCGCGGATGCAGCGCGCGCAGTGCCGGGCCGTGTCAATAGAGGCCAGGTCATGCCTCTGTCCGTGCCCGTGCCCAGCAGGCGCGAGGCACCACAGTTCCCAGTGCACGTGACCGCGCTAGCAGCGCCCAGTCCGTGTCCGCGTGCGAGGTCTCGGCACCAGTCAGTGGGCGTGGTCTCGAGCCAGTCGCTCGTGCCGCGCTGAGTAGGTCTCGGGTCGTGCCAGTAGCATGCCCAAGCGGTCCGTGCCGTGCCTAGGGTTAACCCGAGTAGTGTTTGCCAAGTCCAATCGATCTCGGGTCGTGCCCAGCAGCACGCTCGATGCCCAGTTGCCTCCGGGTCGCCCGACAGCGCCCGAGTAGTGCCAGTCGCGCCAAAGTCGCGCCAACAGAGCCTGTCTATGTCTGTCCGCACCTAGTCGTGCCAGACCCGAGCCCAGCGTGTCTGTCCGCACCCAGTAGTGCCAGACCCGAGTCCAGCCGTGCCCAGAAGCACGCCAGAGTCTTAGTTAGCCTCGGTAGTTACCAGTCGCACCCGAGTGACACCAGTAGTGCCCGTGCTCGTGCCAGCAGCCTCTGGCCGTGTAACGCCCCGATTATTATTATAATATTAAGATGATTTTTCACTGCTCGACTTTTAAGTGAAAAATTCATAATTTCAAGAAATTCAAGATTTATTTATTAAGTATATGCTAAGTGCTCAAAAATATATTAAGTCCATTTTAATTATGCAGATATTTTTATTCGAATGATTCGTTCGTTCCGAAAACTAGTTATCGAGCCTTAAAAATAGAGTAACATTAGTAGCATCACACTTAGAAATTTTCTAAGTGTTGAGAAGTACATGTTCAAGCCTAAAACCCAAGTACTTAAGTCGAGCCTTTCACACAAGCCGCGTGCACCGAGCCATACCGCACCCATGGTGCATGACCAAGGTCCCAAAGGTGTACTCAAGCCATGCCAAAGTTTTGGGTAATTTTTCTAAGTGTTGGAATTGGATTTTGAGCCTTGAAAACCGACCAAGACCCGCAGCCCATCCATTTCCGCGCCCAGCCAAACCAACAGGCCTCCCAGCGCCCCAACAGGCCTTCCCGCGCCATTCCTCCCAGCCCAGCCAGAAGCCGCGCGCGAGCCCAGCGCCCAGCAGCAAAATTTGGGTGATTAAAGTCAGCTTATTGAGGGACATTTTGGGCCCATTGACCGGTCAAAGTCAAACCCACAAACTAGTCTTGGATTTGTGCCAAATTAGTGATTATTTTAATAGCCTAGGTTACCTAAATGTCCCCCATTACCTACACCCAAGACAAGACAACCCCATGTGTCTTTGTGCTCAGCAAACACCAATAAAAGACACACTAAAACCGATCCAACATGTCCGCCAACACATCAAAGTCCTAGGAGCATGAATTAAAGTGTTGTCCCCCCCACCATAGTCTTGCATTTTGACCCATATTGACCAAGACTTGAACCACCTCTTTAAAAACCCTCTCCTCAGCATTTGAGGTCCCATTTGGCTCACAAAATTCGGACAACACTTAGAGTAAACAAGAGAAAAACCGAGAGCAACTCACCTAGCCACTCACCGCCGCACGCGCCCGGAGGAGAGAAGGCCCGACCATTTTCGTGCTCCAAGCCATTTCTCTTGAGATTTATCATCTTCCAAGAGTCCCTTGGAATTTTATAAGTCCATAGAAACCCTCTCTTCAGTCCAAAGCCACCACAAACCGAGGCCTAACACACCAAGAACCGCGCAAGCCCTAGCCAAGCCACCCTCTCGCCATTTTCGACTTTAATCAAAGGTTAGCTCGACCAACCTTCTTCCAGTAGTCATTTTATGATAAAATAGGATTTATCATGAAGAAAAATCAAGTCATGCATGTGTTCTAACATAAGTTTCGAAATTTATGAATTTAATACCTTAAAATCGGATTTTCAGTTCAAAGCATGTTTAGGGCGATTTTGTTAGCTATATGTCACTTAAAAATCATAAGAAATGATGTGTATAAGTTTGAGAATTTTTGGATGTACAAGCATGAGAAGCCTATCATGTTAGTCTTAAAAATCATGATTTAATATGTGTATAACTCGGCCATGTTCATTTATGCTAGACTAAGTAGTTGGTTCGGTCAAGCCATTCATGATGTTATACGATTTTTCACCCCCGAGCCATCTTACGCATACATGCAAGTTATGACCCATTTTCTAGCCTCTATAGTCATCATTTTACATGTGTATAACTTGGCCATAAGAAATTTTATAAGTTGTCCATGTTCGTTCGATGACCTAGGGTTCAAGGGTGCCACATCGGCCCTACCGAACCAAACCACGCAAGTCCGAGCCCTCTTTAGGTCCTTTCAGCATTTTTAAGCATATTTCATCATATTATGTTGATTCATGTGGCATGTAGCTAGAAAAGTTGAAAAATGGTTGGCAAAGGACGGTCCCGATTTCTAGCCGCGCATATCGCGTGTGCAGTGCCGACTCGCGTGATGCGAATGTGGCTAGGCAGCTGAAGAACGCCTCGAGTCGGGTCTATAATGCCCGCAAGAGGTTAGCGCGGCAGGCGGGTGAGACGCAAGCCATCGCGTGCGGGACATGCGAGGTCGGCGAGGGGGACCCGGTAGAAGAGAGCGCGCGGCTAGCGCGTGAGCGAAATGCGGTCGCGAGGGGTGAGG